TTGGTCATGGAGAGTTGTATCAGAGGGAGTTGTAAAATTTCATTGTGAAGGCTTAATATCAGTTCTCTGTAATTATCAAACAATATCAATTATGCCTGGCCACACTAGATTTTCAATTTTAATGAAACTTTTTGTGTGTATTCAGAGTGTCACATCATTAATGGTTTTATATTTTTTATCTTTATATATGTCACGTTGCTATGGTAATGGCACCTATTATTTCCCCTGTAAATTCTTCCTAAAATTTGACAAAAAACGTGATTTTGTAGGTTTTCATGATTAAAGATGAGCTTAACAGAATCAAGAGAATGGGAAAACCTACTTTTGTCTTAAAACTACCATTATTTGTCTTAAGTATTACAACATAATTTTCTAAAAAAAGAAAAAAAAAAACAACTGTAATTCTACATATTTTTCCAAAAAATGTAATTCTACATAATGCTTAAATAACATTTATCTTTGGGGATTTTGGGTATATTCGAGATATTGCATGGAATTGAAAATGTTACACAAAGATGGTTGGAAAGGACAAACTCAAATTATTCTCCTCCAATTTCACCAAAAGTAAGGAACAAAAAATGGAAACAATAATTGTCCTGCTCTTAACGACGTTCGATCCTGATATTTAAAGTCTTAAACTTTTTTTGTCAAGCATATTTTTAGTTTCTACATACATAGCTTAATTAAAATTCAAAACAAAAAGTCGGAGTCAATACGCTTCTTTTGGCGCTACAGTACATTTAATATGACCTTTTTGCACTGAAATTTGTGTCTTAATTAAAAATTAATTTTTTGACGTTTTCCCTCCAATATTTTTATCCAATTAAAGCATGAAACAAAATGAACTCTTAGTTTGTTTAAAAAAAGACACTTAAAAATTAAGACTAAGAAAAAGTTTCAAATTGCTTAGCATAATCAATTATTTGACCTTTCTGCACTTCTAATAAAAAGTGATTTTTCTGGCATTGAAAATTTAATAAGCAAGAAAATTATTTTTAAGTCTTAAACTTTTACTGATTTTAAGCAAATAGGTCAAATTTATCTTGAATATTTAGAAAAGGACATCAAAAGTGGGGGTATATGATGTAAATTTTCAGATATTACTAAAAAAGTGTCAATTTTACGTTAAAATTGGCTCAATTTTTTCCCGGATTTTCAGAATATATTGACTATATTTGTCAAACTTTGTTGATAGAATTCATAAGAAATAATTTAATAGATATTTCAGAACCAGCATAAGACATTTCACTGCAAAAAGCAGCTTTGTGTGCAACCAGGATGGAAAAATAGGGATCCAAAATTAACAGTACTGTTATAGTTAAAAATGAAAAAACTGATCATTTTTGTCTAAAAAACCTTCCGCCAAAAAATAAAGTCCCTAGCTTAATTCTACTTGAATGGAATTTAATCGCGGTTTTTTCATTGGATATAGTTAAATTTGCACTGTAGAATTCAGATTTAATTTTAGACCTTAAAAGTGATGCAGAATTTTATAAATAAAGGACCTGACCAAAATACACTCAAAATCTCAGGATCGAACGTCCTTAAGGCTCATCAGCTTGCGTACTGTCTAGCAGACAAGGATTTTTCAGTAACTTTCTTACTGTACAATGCTTATTATTCAAGAGTTTTTTCCCTCGTCCAAAAACTTAAACCTTGGTCATATCTCTTGAATTGGAAGATAAGACTTTTATAAGCTGTATACTTGTGATAAAACCTTTTTAAATACACTGAGTTTTGACTCTGTGACCTTGAAGTTTGACCTACTTTCGAAAATTTTAAACATTACTTAAAATTGGCCGTAACTTTTAAATGAGAAGAATAGGACTTCCAAAGTACATGTATACAAGTGTATTACTACAAAATGAGAAGTCCTTTCTTAATACACTATGATTTTTGACCCCGGTACCTTGAAGTTTGACCTACTTTTCAACAATGTTTCTTCCTAATGACTTTTGATTTGAAGAGATAGGGCTTTATATTTATTTTACTAGTTCATTACCTGTGGCAACACATTTCTGATCGTTTCATTACCTGTGGCAACACATTTCTGATCGCTAGCATGCTTTAATTTCTTATCCCTTGACATTCATGCTTGACCTAATTTTTCATAAAATGGTAATAATTCTTTGATGAAATTTGATAAGTCATTCATATTTAATATGCATCTCATCCACAAAAACACCGAAAGTGGGGAACCACAATTTTTTTAATTTGCTTGTTACATGAAGCTTAGCAATTAGTACTAAGTAAATCACTTTAGGTCCGGAGTTGCACACATTTTTGAATTTTTTTTCTACCTCAGTGAACTGCAGGAGTTAATTCGCGTAACAACACATAGGCGTCGAAACCGGAAGGGGCTGGGGGGAGGGGGCTTAGCCTCCCCCCCCCCCCACTTTTTCCAAAGATAGACTTTTTATAGACATTGAACATTGCTGCATAGGTCTAGCCCCCCCCCCCCCCTTGCAAAGGGCATTTCCTTTTTTTTTGGCTTGTCAGGTTTTTTTTTTGGAGGTCTAAAAAAGTTTTCTTACACTTAGCCTCCCACTTTTAATTTGCTTTTGACACCAATGCATACCTAGCAATTTTATCAAAATTTTCAGTAAATAAATATGAACATACATATTATAAATAATACCTATATAGGTATTATACCTAGTTTTTATATTTACTGAAAATTTAGGTAAAATTGATAAGTACACGAACTTGAACTTCTGTGCCTCAACCAAGGGAAGTCATGGAGGGGCATCAGTGTTTTACAAACACATCTTGTTGTCTTTAAGTCAATAGTCATATGACTTGGAGAATGGTCTGAACTAGTCTGATTTTCTGACATTTTTTCTAGATGACCTCCATCTTTGTACTATTGCATTATAAAGTTGGAAAAGGTTACTGTATTTTGCACGTCATTTTTCTTAAATTTTCTCTAACATCCCTGGATTCAGAATTCCTGACATTAAAATTTTGAAGACCTAGCTCTTGTATTCATCCTCCATATTTCAGATGAATGGTAATTAAAATTAAAACAAAATGCAGGAAATACATGTGTATTAAATCTTGATTTTATTTCAAACCAGTTCTTTACCATATGAAATAAAGCAATTGCTTCTTTTATTTCAAATTTATTAACATGTAATGCACATATATTTACTATCTGCTATTGCAGTTCCAACATTAGCAAACGGTAACCAGATTACATGAATGTCGAGCCAGAATTTTCAAACTTTTTTCCAGAAAATATTTATATTTACTAATCTTGCATTATTCTTTTAAATTTCAATTCTGTATCACTGCATTAAATTCTTTTTTTACTACGAGTTCTACGAGTCAAGGAAAACAGGATTAAAATATTAATGCAATGAAATTTAATATAAAATAATATGCATGATATCGGTATATTTACAAACAATCATAACAAAATGAATTTTTAATTACACGAGATCAAGCACCACAACATTTCATCATATACACTACACTCGTACACAATTAAACAATTCCAAACATCTGACCTTTAATAAAATCACCCTCAGTTAAAGTGTCATTCCAAGAAGTAAAATTATTGCATAATGCACAACAATTTTACTTTGAAACATTTCCATTTTTGTCTCTCAGCTACTAGTATTTTTTTTTTTAAAGTAGATTCAAAGATTAATTTAATTTTTATCTGTAAGCATACTCTGGCAATAACATCCAATATAAAACTGCATGCATTGCTTGTATGTTAGGGTATGGCACATTCCTTCTAATGGTTACTCAAAAAACTTTATAATCATGGACAGAATTTACTACTTGGATTTGAATGCTTGGTTCACTTTGAATTGTTTTAGACAAAACCCATCAGTTGTGCCTGGGACACAAGCATTGAATTCTTTTTTTAGTTATGCATAAATACAGTAAAATAAAATAGAGGAGAAAACTCTGCTACAACTGTTCTATGCAGAGAAACAGAGGGAAAATAAAACAAGAGACCCATGGGCCACATCACTCACCTGAGCACTGTGGCTAGGAAAAGGTAGGAATTGGTTTATTATCTAAAAGTTTAAATCCAAAACTAGTCCCATGACCAATCATGGCTTTGCTATTCTTGAGAAGAAGATTTTTAAAGAATTTTCCTAAATATTTCTTTGTAAAATTTTCATTGTCCATAGTGGCTCCGCCCTACCCCTGGGGGTCGTTGAACAAACTTGAATCTACACTACCTGAGGATGCTTCCATATAAATATGATCAATTATGGCTTTGCTATTCTTGAGAAGAAGATATTTAAAGAATTTTCCTATATATTTCTATGTAAAACTTTGGTCTGCCATCGTGGCCCCGCCCTACCCCCAGGGGTCATGATTTGAACAAACTTGGATCTACACTACCTGAGGATGTTCATATAAATATTATCAATTATGGCTCTGCTTTTCTTGAGAAGAAGATTTTTAAAAAAAAATTTCCTATATATTTCTATGCAAAACTTTGGTTAGCCATTGTAGCCCCACCCTACTTCTGGGGGTCATGATTTGAACAAACTTGAATCTACACTACCTGAGGATGCTTCCATATAAATATAATCAATTATGGCATTGTTATTCTTGAGAAGAAGATTTCTAAAGAATTTTCCTATATATTTCTATGTAAAAATTTGGTTGACCATTGTGGCCCCACCCTACCCCCGGGGGCCATGATTTGAACAAACTTGACTCTACACCACCTGAGGATGCTTCCATATAAATATGATCAATTATGGCTTTGCTATTCTTGAGAAGAAGATATTTAAAGAATTTCCCTATATATTTCTATGTAAAACTTTGGTCGGCCATTGTGGCCCAGCCCTACCCCAGGGGGTCATGATTTGAATGAATTTGAATCTACACTACCTGAGGATGCTTACATATAAATATGATCAATTATGCCTTTGCTATTCTTGAGAAGAAGATTTCTAAAGAATTTTCCTATATATTTTAGTGTAAAACTTTGGTCAGTCATTGTGGCCCCGCCCTACCCATGGGGGTCATGATTTGAACAAACTTGAATAAACACTTCCTGAGGATGTTTTCCCATAAGTTTCATCTTTCTTGGCACTGTGGTTCTTGAGAAGAAAATTTTTGTAACATGCCACCAAATTTTCATTATTTACCAATTGTCTCCCCTTGGCCCTTCATTTGAACAAACTTGAATCCTCTTCACCCAAGGATGCTTTGTGGCAAGTTTGTCGAAATTGGCCCAGTGGTTCTTGAGAGGAAGTAGAAAATGTGAAAAGTTTACAGACAGACAGACACTGGACAAAATGTGATCAGAAAAGTTCACTAGAGCCTTCGGCTCAGGTGAGCTAAAAAGATAACCTACTGAGTTAACAAAATCTCTGGATGAGGGAGGCACTGTTTATATTAACACACAGGAACAGCGTGGTACTAGCTGGTCGTGTCTGATGATGGAGTGTCCTTCTGTTCAAACTTCTGTAATCTCCTCCGGCGGATTTCATGCATCTCGTCTGTAAACTCTTCTTTGGCTGGATCCTCCCATTCTGGCATTTCTTCCTCCTTTGGGGGCGTGTACCCTGTAGCTCCCTCCAGGTCCTCATAACCTGTCAATCAAAGGTCAACAGTTCATCACCAAGTAAATTTTAGAGACCATTTTAACCTGCAGATCTATACAATGTGCATTTTTCACTATATCTCTTATTTCCATATTTTAATACTTCTGTGTATACTGATAATCGAACTTACTAACTAAAGGTCTGTCTCAGGGGGTTCTGTTTTTATTTCATCTTTGGTTTTTATGACATCACTCTTTGACTGTTCCCCCTGACTTTTATTTGTTGAAGATACATTTGTATTTATAGCTGGAGTGCTGTAAGAAAAACTAATCACAAGGTCATCATAAAAAATAGGCATTCTTGTACAACAATTGAAAATACTTAAAACTGCATGCTGATCCTTAAGATCCCTAAATACCCCAAATAAAGTATATGCGAGGAATTTATCAATTTTGACTAAATCATTAATCGAGAAAACAAATTATTCGCTTCATATTACATCATTACTTAATGATGTAATATAAAACTCCTCATGGTATCTTGTTTTAGTCGAGTATATTAGCAAGTTTTACTGTATAAAGTTACTCAATACATGATTATCTAGTTTATTTGAGTACCTTAACTGAGCTGATATCTACGGTAGTTTATTTGAGTAACTTAACTGAGCTGATATCTAATTTATATGAGTACATTAATTGAGCTGATAACTGGTTTATTTGAATACCTTAACTGAGCGAACATCTAGTTTATTTGAGTACCTTAACTGAGCTGCTATCTAGTTTATTTGAGTACCTTTACTGAGCTGATATTTAGTTTATTTGAGTACCATAACTAGGCTGATATCTAGTTATTTGAGTACCTTAACTGAGCAGATATCTAGTTTATTTGAGTACCTTAACTGAGCTGATATCTAGTTTATCTGAGTACCTTAACTGAGCTGATATCTAGTTTATCTGAGTACCTTAACTGAGCTGATATCTAGTTTATTTGAGTACCTTAACTGAGCTGATATCCTGAGTACCTTAATTGAACTGATTTCTAGTTTATCTGAGTACCTTAACTGAGCTGATATCTAGTTTATCTGAGTACCTTAACTGAGCTAATATCTACTTTATTTGAGTACCTTACTTGAGCTGTTATTTAGTTTATTTGGGTACCTTTACTGAGCTGATATCTAGTTTATTTGTGTACCTTACTTGAGCTGCTATTTAGTTTATCTGGGTACCTTTACTGAGCTGATATCTAGTTTATTTGAGTACCTTAACTGAGCTGATATCTAGTTTATTTGAGTACCTTAACTGAGCTGATATCTAGTTTATTTGAGTACCTTAACTGAGCTGCTATCTAGTTTATTTGAGTACCTTTACTGAGCTGATATCTAGTTTATTTGAATGAGTACCTTAACTGAGCTGATATCTAGTTTATTTGAGTACCTTAACTGAGCTGATATCTAGTTTATTTGAGTACCTTAACTGAGCTGATATCTAGTTTATTTGAGTACCTTAACTGAGCTGCTACTGTGTTGTACTGGTTGATCATCACCATGGCTCCATCCATTAAGGCCTGGATATCCCTCAACCACTGAATCCTGGCCTCCACGTTCTCCCTCTCTTGTCCCTCAATCTTCCTCAGATCCTCAGTAGACAGCTCAGAGAGATTGCTGGGAGGACGAGGCATGCCTGGAAGAAAGGGATAAGGTACATACATAAAACAGAGGCCCAATTGACCACAATGCTTATACCTGAGTCACCATTCTTTTCCTAACCAACTGTTATGCACATACTGATTAAGGTACTCTGATCCTCAGGTTCTGAAAATCAGACATTGACTACCAGTAATTAAAAATGCTCACAAAAATGTCCCCTGAAATCTCAAAGTTATATGTTTTTACCAATGAAATTTCTTTAAACTTTATCTTAAAGTTTATCTTTTTATATTTCCATTTCTAATTTTTCTCTCTGTGATAACTCTTTGAACGTTAGCGGAGTTAATATTTTGATAATTCTACCGTAATGTAAATTATGCAGGTCAATAGGTAAGGAGCTAAGGAGGCCTAATATGCATGCAAATCTCAAGCGCATCTGTCTCTGAGTCTGAGGCTAAAGAGGCCAAATATGCATGAAAATCTCATGCAGCTGACATTGTGTTTGACGTCAGTGAACGAGGACTATTGAAATTATGATGGGAGTCCTCGTGTAATTTAAATCTTTGTCTGCATTTTTAAAGTCTAAATCTACAATTTTATTTCACAATGGAATGGAAATATAAGGAATCACTGTCTAGTTAGTATAGTATGCCAGGGCATCAACAATAGTGGGAAACATGGGATAATTTGCTAACTAGACAGTGATTCCTTAAATATAAAGAAAATTAGCAAAGCTCAAATAAATTTTCAGGAAATGTGAATAAAAACACTTACTATGCTTTTTCCATTTCAAATCTGATCAACAAACATATTTTAGAAATAAAAAAAACATAGGTATCTAGGCTTTTGAAGAAATTGCACAATATTTATACATATAAGGTATGGTATTTTACTTTTTTTCTATTTACTTCCATTATTTTACAATGCATCGTGTATAAAGATCTTCCTATCATTGAAAAACCTCATAAATGCACTTTCTTTTGAAGATGGGTACAATTTATTTGAAGATAGGTAAAATTTATTTGAAGATAGGTACAATTATTTGAAGATGGGTACAAATATTTGAATAATATATATTAATTTGGTGTTCATAAGAATTAAATATTGAACGAATTCATCCATATATAGACTATGTTGTTAAAGAAAATGAGTGATGTTTATGTAAATTAGGTAACAGGTTTGTTCGCCCGTTCTATCTTCTTGCCGGAGTCCATTCACACAGAGTCCGTTCGCCCAAAATATTTTTATTTATCTTATTATTATTTATTAATATTTTATTATTTCCTTTACGAACTTGGGATATTTTTTCTCAAATTCTGTTACGAGGAACAAGTTTATTTAGTCTTGATTAATTTTTGATTCGATTCTAATGTTTTTTGAATGACTGCATGATTGTTTGCACAAGAGTTAATTAGATGATTAATATAATTAATATCAATTTAATTAGGGGGATACACCCACATTATTTTTACAAACTGGGCTATGTTTTGAAAACTATTAAAGGTTCTAAGACGTTAATAGGTCCATTATAGAACTGTACAGCGGAAGTTGAAGGATTTACCTTTGAAGAATCTCCCTTTGATCTCAAAGAATGATTTAAAGGAATTAAACAAAATTTATTTATGTACTAAAAGTCCAAAGGTCTGTCAAGTCCTTGATAGGTCATGTATTTAGAGTGACCATTTGTGACAATATGCATAATGTCTGATGGGGCTGTTTTCTTTCGAATGTACCAAAATTTTGGAAAGAAATCTGTTAGATTTTATTCTAGTAGAATGAAGTACATCAAATTAGGGCAAACATACTCTGTGCAAACAAGTTTTAGGGCAAGCGGACTCTGGGCGAAGGGGAAATTGGGCGAACTGGAAATCGAGCGAATGAACATGGAACTTGTCAACTTAATGTAAAGCCATACTTTGAATCTAAGAATCAAGATTATTATTGTTACCTTGAAATCCAAAAGAACTTTGCTGGATATCACTATCACTGTCACATGTAGCTGTTCCCATGTCTACATTGACAACATTTTCAGACAAAGTGTCCTCTTCATCCTCTTGATGATTCCCATCAGCTGAAACCCTGTCATAAAATTGATTTTTTTTTTTCATTTTAATTAACTTATTTATTTACCAATGCATATCTGCTTTATCAAAAAAATAACTTTTTTGAAATAATTCCAATATTTTGTCTGTAGACTGATGATTCTCATTAATTTAAAATGAAATATAAAGTTTAATATACTTGAACTCTCTTGCTTTTTTCTCCGACTCAAGCGTGGTAATTGTATGTGATGCAATTAGTCGCCGTTTGGTAGCTCGACGGCTTGGCGCAGTAGTTTTATCATGGGTTAAAGCTGATATAGGGTCTGGGAATTTTTCAGATGGTTCACCATTAATAAAATGCTGTAAATTGTTATAAAATATTTATAGGGTATTTATATTGCTGATTGCACAGCATTACTGGTCAAGTAAAAAATTAACAAGAAGTCTCTGTCGAGACTGAAGCTCTACTGGTTTGAAATTATAGCAAAGGAAGAGAAAAGTACTTAAGCAGCTGGGATTTGAAACTTTACAACAGCAATAAATAGAATAATGATCCTACTTATTGAAATCAGACCAAAACTGTAGGAGGAGTAGCATTTTGAAAGAATTTCACAGAAATTTCTGTTTTAAGTAACCACGGCAACACAGTTCATCAAAATTAAAATTCGATACACAGAATTATGTATCTTAGTGTATTCTACTTGTGTGCCAAGTTATACTGAAATCAGACCAAAACTGTAGGAGGAATAGCATTTTGAAACAATTTTACAGATATTTCTATATTTAGTAACCACGGCAACACCGTTCATTGAAATCAAAAACCGATATACAGATTTATGTATCTTAGTGTAGCCTACTTGTGTGCCAAGTTATACTGAAATCAGACCAAAACTGTAGGAGGAGTAGCATTTTGAAACAATTTCACAGAAATTTCTATTTTTAGTAACCACGGCAACACCGTTCATCGAAATCAAAAACCGATACACAGAATTATGTATCTTAGTGTATTCTACTTGTGTGCCAAGTTATACTGAAATCAGACCAAAACTGTAGGAGGAGTAGCATTTTGAAACAATTTCACAGAAATTTCTATTTTTAGTAAACTAACCACAGCAACACCGTTCATCGAAATCAAAAACCGATAAACAGATTTATGTATCTTAGTGTAGTCTACTTGTGTGCCAAGTTATACTGAAATCAGACCAAAACTGTAGGAGGAGTAGCATTTTGAAACAATTTCACAGAAATTTCTATTTTTAGTAACCACGGCAACACCGTTCATCGAAATCAAAAACCGATATACAGAATTATGTATCTTAGTGTAGTCTACTTGTGTGCCAAGTTATACTGAAATCAGACCAAAACTGTAGGAGGAGTAGCATTTTGAAACAATTTCACAGAAATTTCTATTTTTAGTAACCACGGCAACACCGTTCATCGAAATCAAAAACCGATATATAGAATTATGTATCTTAGTGTATTCTACTTGTGTGCCAAGTTATACTGAAATTAGACAAAAACTGTAGTAGGAGTAGCATTTTGAAAAATTGTTTACAGACAGACGGACAGACAGACAGCTAGACAGACGGACGGACGCCGGACGCATTACTATCGCATAAGCTCTTCTGGTCTCTGACCAGTAGAGCTAAAAATGAGATGATAATTACAATAATATTGATTTAAATTTAATAGCCTTAAACAAATGCTTTAAACTATCTTCACTGTTTTAATCCTATAATCATAATAGATCTATGTGATGAACTCTATAAATGTACTTACAGAATAGAAACATTTAAACAAATCAAGATTGTGAATCCAAGCTGAGCTTCATGAATTACCTTGGAACACACATAAAAATGTTTTGATTTATTTCTATCTCGGAGAACCTCCTCGTTTAGCTGATAGGCTGGTCTGCCACACAAGCGTATCCACCGTTTACATTTTTCGGGATTGGTCGGAGGTTTGGGGAAAGGAATGAATTTAATCCCACCAGTTAATCTCTCAGGATATCTACTATCTGTGTTGCATGTTCCCCAGCTACACCTTTTCACCATTCTTTCTAATACACGGCAAATTTACCTTATTCGCTATTCAGTGTTTACTTTCAGTTTGTCGGAGCACGTGGCGGAGCATCACTGATCGGTAACGGGATGTTTCGCGCCGATGCATAGTTCGCACCGCGATGTTTCACACCCATCATGCCAATTCTGTTCCGCTCTCAGATGGTTCGCCGCAGCTTTAAGTACATAATATAGCTGCAGAAGATGAACTGTATATAGCTCTCCGAAAAATATATATTGATAGATCGGTCTGATAGTCCGGTTCGTCAATTTTTTTTTCGGAGAGCTACAGATCTGCAGCTATATTTAGTACATAAATGTGCTACTGGATTAGTTGTTTTGCAAAGAAATTTAGTACTTACACTGTGTACAGTACATATTTACCTAATACTAACTCAGTGTAAAATATTTACCATTCTAAACTTAGTGTAAAGTATTTGATATTTGATTTCATATACTAGAAATTTAAGCATATTTTAATTCGCAATCTGAAATATTAATGCCTAAAGTCCCACATACTAGTATTTATTATACCTCTGTTTATTTTTTCTATATAAAAATAAGACGAATAAACATGCTATTTTTTCTAAACAGTCTCTACCGTGAAATAGTTTTTGTGCTATTTGCCCATGGTGAATAGTCCTCAAACTATTCAACGGCAGCATTCGATTTCCCTCGCTTTTCATCTCTGAAAAACTTCTGATTTTACATGGATTGTGACGCGTATACATTATGACGTAACAAAAGTTTAAGTTAAGTCAGAACCGGTATAATATGGAATATCATAATTGTGTGTACCCTGGACTCACAAAAGTTAACAAAAGTTAAGTCAGCATCTGTATAATAAAACACCTATTTACTGACTATTCGGACAATAGCAAGTTTATCGTTCCCCAAGGCAGCAAACTATTTCCCGAGGCGCAGCTATTGTCCTCATAGCCAGTAAATAGGTGTATATAATATATTATTCTACAACGAAATACGTAATTGCAATTTGACAGGGCATAGGTGTCGGAAGCAAATTGAAAGGGGGGGCTAATCCAACAGAAAAGGTAAACCCTTCAATACATAAAAATTGTCTATTTTTGCCCCCCCCCCCCAAAAAAAGGGGGCAGGGGGCTATAAGTCCCCCCCCCCAGCTGCAGAACTGTACAGCGTTATGGTTTTATATATTAGTCTTGACCATAACGCTACAGATCCTGTAATGCAAAAAATGTGCAATTTACGGCACAAGAATTTTTGCGCACTGTTTGATAGAATTTCTTTCCAACATTTTTAAATCATCTACCTTTCCCTTCATAATTCTAGACACATTTTAAAAAAAAAATCTGTATATTTTATACACCTCCCAACACTTTATAGTCGTCTCTACAAGCGATAAAATCGCTTGAATTAGAATTTTCTGCAATCCCCCAGACAATTCAAATCAAGCCAGTTTAGTGCCTGAAGAGGCGACTATAAAGGGTCGAGAGGAGGATAAAAGATACAAATTTGTCTACGAATGTGTCTGGAATTAGCCATCGTCACAAACCACGGCCAAAATGTATGATCCTCTCCCATTCTATATGCGGACTCCGGACCGTGGCTTGAGACGATTGGAATTAGCAGGTGAAAGGTAAATGATTTACTAAAGTTGGAAAAAGGAGAAATTTTCCCACACAGTGCGCAAAAGATCTTGCGCCGTAAATTGCACATTTTTTGCATTACGGGATCTGTAGCGTTATGGTCAAGACTAAAATATACAATAGGCCCATGGGCCACATCGCTCACCTGAGAAGCTTTGACCATTCTGTTCTTTACCAGATTTCCCCCTTGTAATACATAATGCCTCCCCACCCTACCCCACTGATCATAATTTAGACATTTTGAAATCTACACTAACCCAGGATCCTTCCATGTGCACATAAGTTTCAGCTTTTCTGGCCCAGCGGTTCTTGAGAAGAAGATTTTCAAAGATTTTTCCAATATATTTTTATGTAAATCTTTGATTCCCCATTGTGGCACCGCCCTTCCCCCGGGGGTCATGATTTGAACAATTTAGAATCTACACTACCCCAGGATGCTTCCACATAAGTTTCAGCTTTTCTGCCCCAGTGGTTCTTGAGAAGAAGATTTTCTAAGAGTTTTCCTATATATTTCTATGTAAATCTTTGATTCCCCATTGTGACCCAGCCCTTCCCCCGGGGGGTCATGATTTGAACAATTTAGAATCTACACTAAACCAGGATGCTTCCATATAAGTTTCAGCTTTTCTGCCCCAGTGGTTCTTGAGAAGAAGATTTTCTAAGAGTTTTCCTATATATTTCTATGTAAAACTTTGATTCCCCATTGTGGCCCCGCCCTTCCCCCGGGGGTCATGATTTGAACAATTTAGAATCTACACTAAACCAGGATGCTTCCCTATAAGTTTCAGCTTTTCTGCCCCAGTGGTTATTGAGAAGAAGATTTTCTAAGAGTTTTCCTATATATTTCTGTGTAAATCTTTGATTCCCCATTGTGACCCAGCCCTTCCCCCGGGGGGTCATGATTTGAACAATTTAGAATCTACACTACCCAATAAAACCATAACGCTACAGTTCTGCAGCTCCCCCCCCTCCACGGTTCCGACGCCTATACAGGGTTCTTCTAAATTGATATAAATAGGTATAAGTCAAAACGGCACCTGGTGAAAACGGCATATAAATCAGAGTACTTATATAATTAGCACTCAGTAAATCACTTAACATGCTCAAAGTCCGGAGTTTTACACATTTTTGAATTTTTTTTTAACTCAACCACAGGAGTTCGCGTACCTATCAATTTTTAAATTATTATCAAAATTTTCAGTAATATGATAAATACATAATACCTAAATAGATATAATTATTATTACCTATTTTTTATATTTACTGAAAATTTAGGTAAAATTGATAAGTATACACAAACTCCAATCTCCCATGCAGTGTTGCCGTTCGTTCCTCTCTCAGACATGAATATATGAATATATGAATGTATGAGCCGATGGTAGAGAGTGCACAAACTCCTGTGCTTCAACCATGAGAAGTCATGGAGGGTCATCAGTGTATTACAAACACACGTTGTTGTCTTTTTGTCAATACAGAATCATGTGTCTGGAGATTGGACAGAACATGTCTGATTTTCAGGCAGTTTTTCTAAATGGCCTTCTGAGCTCTGATACCTTTGTAAATTGCATTATAAAGTCAGAAATTGTTAATAAATACATTTTTCACATTATATTTTTCTTAAATTTTCTCCATCCGTGAATTCAGAATTCCATACATCAGTATTATTCCTTCATATTTCAAATAAATGGTAAATAAAATTAAAACAGAATGCAGGAAATATATGAAAGACCAGATTTTATTTTAAACCAGTCCCTTACCATATTTGATAAAACAATTGTTTCTTTTTTCTCAAATTTATTAACATGAAATAAACCTATATTTTCTATTAGCTATTACAGTGCCAACAATTAGAAAAGGGTATCCAGACTAAATAAATGTCAAGCCAGAATTGTTTTTTTACAATTTTTTTTTTTTTAGAAAATATAAGTTTAATTTATTATTCTTGCTGTATTTTTATTTTCAATTCTGTATCAATGTTTTGAATTCTACATTTGCTATGAGTCAAGGAAAACGGGAGAAAAGTATTGATGCAATGAAATTTAACATAAAAAATTATATGCACGACATACCATATATTTACAATCATAACAAAATGAATTTTTAATTACACGAGATCAAGCACCACCACATTTCATCACATACACTACACTCATACACAATTAAACAATTCCAAACATCTGACTGTTATTAAATCACCCTCAGTTAAAGTGCCATTCCAAGAAATAAAAGTATTGCATAATGCACAGCAATTTTACTTTGTAATCTTCCCATTTTTTGTCTTTCAGTAGACTGCTACTATTATTTTTAAAAAATAGATTCAAGGATAAATGTTTTACTTGTAACCATACTTTAAGTGATAACATCCATTACAAAACTACATGCATTGTTTGTATGTCGGGGTATGGCACATTCCTTTCAATATGGTAATTTAAAAAAAAAAACTTAACAATCATTGACATAATTATCTACTGTGATTTGAATGCATGGTTCACTTTGAATTGTTATAGATAGAACCCATCAACTGTGCCTGGGACACAATTTAGCATTTAAAATTCTTCTAATAAAATACAGTAAAATCAAATGGAGGAGATAACTCTGCAACAACTTTTCTATGCAGAGAGAGAGACAGGGAAACTAAAGACAAACAACCCACTCCGTTTACTAAAAATCTCTGGATGAGGGAGGCACTGTTTATAATTAACACACATAACTAGCATGATGCTAGCTGGTCGTGTCTGATGATGGAGTGTCCTTCTGTTCAAACTTCTGTAATCTCCTCCGCCTGATTTCATGCATCTCGTCTGTAAACTCTTCTTTGGCTGGATCCTCCCATTCTGGCATTTCTTCCTCCTTTGGGGGCGTGTACCCTGTAGCTCCCTCCAGGTCCTCATAACCTGTCAATCAAAGGTCAACAGTTTATTACCCAGTAAACTTATATAAAGTTAACTCTAACTCAAAGAGTTAGAGTTTCGCTCTAACACACATGTATTTAGACCATTTCTCTTATAAGACCGCGGAACATTAACTGGCAAAATTGGAAATTTACAGCTTACGTCATTTCTATCTGTTACAATCAAAACATTCACTGATAGACAGCGTAATGGGCGGGTACAATTCGACGCGGACGTTTGGAAAACATCGGATTGAAATTGCAGATCGAAAATCATTTTCAATCCACCTCAGCGACGCTACAATTTTAGGCACATTACTGATTGACCCAAAAGACAGTATAATTTCAAATTCGAAGATAGTTAATCATTTGAAAATAGTTAATAGTTAATAGATAGTTACAAACATGTAATATAAATCAGAATTTTCTGTCAAGTGTTTCAAAGAAATATATGAGGGGACAAATATTTTATTTCTGTTTGGTATAATTTATGTACGTAAGTGTGCAAGGGGGGGGGGGGGGCTTAACGATCTTGGAAAAATAAGAAAGTTTTTTTAAAAAAATCATGAAAGACAAAACAGAAAAAGCTCTTTTCATCCTAAACATAAATTGGTACAAAACTATCAGACTCGACAATTTTTCACAGCCAAACCCCCTAGCTTTTATTTTATTATCAAATGGCCGTCTACTAAATAATAATACTAGTATATCACTTCTGAGACTCTTACCAGTGTTATATTAAAGGCTGTAAACTAATATCAATATTTTCAACCAACATGTATTTTGGTATTGAAATTAAGCTTATATGACTTTTGGATCATATATTCACACTTTGGTGACACACAACAGCTCAGGTGGATTGAAAATGAATTTCAAACTAGAATTTCAATCCAATGTTTTCTCGGTCGTCCGCGCGCGTCGAGAGATTAATATTGTAGTTTAGTCCACATCAAGTATGTCAATCCACCTCAGATTTTCAAATTAAAACTGAAGGTCAAAATTAGGCAGAGAATATAATCAAGACAAAGCTTTGTCGGATGATTACAGGGCATCTCTCATTACATGTCTAAAAAAAGGTGGGGCAATAGTTGAGACTGGATTTATACCCAGGGGAGAAATAAGTAAGGTATCAAATAATTTCCATGTACAACCTTCTACAGTGAAAAGAATATGGAAAAACTTTTGTAAAGATGCATGGGGACGTTTGCCCTGGAGTGCGTGGTGGAAAGAAACCAAAAAAACTTAGTGAGCATGATGTGGTTTTTATTGAAGCGTGTCTGAGAGAAAAACCGACTACTACCTACAAAGAGATAGTAGAAAAGCTAAAACAGTTTAGTCCCACTCCTGATGTTACGGAAAAAGATATATCCAATGCAGTGATTAAGTTTCTTCCATCCGGAAGATTCACGTTTAAAAAAATCACACGGATGGCAAAGGAGCGCTTTACCGTTGACAATATGCAATATACACAAACATACATAGATATTGTGAGTCAACTTAACCCGAGAAAGGTTAAGTTTTTCGATGAAAGTGGATTTAAAACAACAGTTGCTCATCGATATTATGGACATAGTAAATATAATGAGAGGGCAATAGAGCTAGGGAGATTTATTCCGAATGCTAATATTACTCTCAATTTGTTTGTTTCGTTAGAAGGACCTGCTTATTTCAATTTTGTCGAGGGACCTTCAAATGCCCAAGCATTTCTTAATTTCTGGGCTGAAGCTGCAGAAACTTTCACGCCTAATGGTGTTCCAGCGATTGAACCTGGTGATGTTATCATCGTAGACAATTGTGCCATACACAAATATCAGGCAGAGATTGAGCTTACGAGGTTTTTTAATCGAATGGGGGTCACATATTTCTTTCTGCCAACATACTCTCCAGATTTGAATCCTGCAGAAAGGTGTTTTAATAAACTGAAATTAATGTTGAAACAACAACGTTACCATGATTTAGTACAAAATAATCTCAAAGTTGCCGTTGGAAATGCAATTCAAGAAATAAACGCAGATGACCTTTGTCTTTTTTATAAGTGTACTGGATGTTTTAATGTGTAATTCAAATAGCAAGTAGGTGTCGACAAAATTTTCACATGGATAATGGGGGGGGGGATTCCTGTTAACAATTTTTTTGACAACATAATGTTTTCTCGGACGTCCGCGCTGAACAAGGCGCAATTCTTAGTTCAGTTACCCCGCCGGCGTAAGAAATCTTCACATGCATCTATCGTTCAAGATGGAAACACGAGTGTTAAGTATACGTGCATGGCTCCATGGGATCGATACTTCCCTTTTGAAATACCAGGAAGATTTCGAGAGTTTAGATTACATAAACAGTAATTGCGTGAAGTTTTTATGTCAATCGGACTTTAAAAAATTCAAAACTTTCCCAAGTGATCTGCACCAGCGCATGATTCTGAATGCAGTTGCCAAGATGCAGACTCCTAACAGCAAGAAAGGACTCGAAAATTTCCAGGAGACACGTCGACTTCCTCCCCAAAAGCTTTATTTTGATGGTAACAATTCAACAGATTGCGAATGGGACGAAAACGAAGGTAATGGTAGCGATAGCGCTAGTACGCCATGGAGTGATTTCGAGTATAAATCCCCAACTGAACTCATGATGAGAGATTTAGAAGAGAATCTTAAGATAAAACGGGTTGAACTGGAAAGTGCTAAAACGTACTTGGCGGACCTAAAAAGACGATATTGTTCTGAATCAGTTACCATTGATAAAACTATTCCGCAGTGCAGTAAATGTCACTTAAGAGATGGTCATTCTAGAAGACGATGTCCGTGGGGTGATTGTCAGGGACCTGAAAGTTGCAGTGATGTCGATAAACACCCCAATGAGAAAAAAATGCTGTTGGAATCATCGGCTGATTGTCGCACAAAAGAGAACAAAATCCAAAAAATTGAAAGAGATATTGCAAACAAGAAAATAGCAATAACAGAAACTCAGACATCCTTTAAGTACAGAATAATGTCGACATTAGTAAAATACCAATGTTGACAAGTATACATTTTCAACAACGGCGGGCCGTGCTTTGCGTCAAACTATGATCAACAATGATGTTTACATTCTGGAGAAACATTACAAGGGAAAAGTCCCGGAAAACCTTAAAGAGGCTGCGAAACATTTTCAGAGCATCATTGACGACTTTAATGGGAAACATACAGACCAACTGGTGTCTCGTGGACCAAGAAACCCGATGCAAAAAATCCTTGAGAATCATAACGTGGAATTTCCCTCATTTACATCAAGGGCTACCACTACCCCGACCATGAAGAGAGCTGGCAGTAAGGAACTTTGTGTCCCACCAAAAAACGCTATACGTACTGAATCTGACAAAACGGTTTTACCGGTTTACTGTTTGACAGTTCCTGTTAATTTTTGTGTTCATAATTAACGAGGCCGAGTCTAATTCGAGTGCGCATCACTTTGCGCAGCTTTTTAATTTCATGCAGTCATTAATTATTTAAATTTTAATACAAAATTAACATTATTTGTAACTCCTACTGATCTGAAAATGTGATTTTACGACAATTATTGGGAAAAGAACGTTGAAATGGCTCTAACAACGTCACCATAGATATGTATTTTTACCGTAATATGGCAATTTTAGAGGTATTTGGCTTCGACCTAGACCAATCGAGATGGTGAACTTTTTTGAAATTTCACAATTTGGTGACTTTTTACATTTACTTTCATTTACTTGAATGAAAAAGAAATCCCTAGGGCAGAAATACAAAAAATATTGAAAAAATGTAATAATTTGGCGATTTTCCAACAAATTCCCATAGGGTCCTATAGTAAAGTTTGACAACATTTAAGATGGCCCACTATGAAAACGGGGTGGTAAACATTCGATATTTTAATCCTAAAACAATAAATATAACAGTAAAAATTAATTATTAAAAAATTATCAAAATCCCTAGGGCAGAAATAATTAGACTCGGCCTCGTTAAATGATGACATCAGATATTGATTGTAATTGTATTTTTTGAAAGAAATTGTTCATGGAGACAGAAAAATTATTTAAATTTCAGAATGTTTTGAAATAAAGTTATATCTGATTTTTTCCCATGCATTCAATGTTTTAAAAGAAAAACGTAATATATACCGGGTATTTATTTTACAATATCCATCAAAAACATATCAACTGAGTCCAAAACCAAAATGTACTACAGTAAAATTTGTCTAATCCGGACTCTGAGTACTCCGGATTTTTGTCCATTCCGTCTATAAATTTTAGTCCCATGCACTTCTTTAACAAATACATTAGAAAAAATTCTGTGTAGTCCGAATACTGTCTATTCTGTATTCCGAACGGCCATACTGGTCCAAACTGCTCATAATTAACGGTAATTATTCCCTCTAATCCGGCCACACCTGAGTTACTTCAAAGCAATTAACACCTTTCGACGTTTCGTGGTGGATTTGATAATCGGCTGTGTTTACATTAGCAGTGCCATGAGACGAACTCAGTGAAATGCGGTGGTGACACAGCCCAGTTGAAAAAAAAATTACTAGTATATGATTGAATTACAATAAAAAAAATAATTTTGTTTTAACTCGATCCTTTTACCACATTATAACAAAAATACAAAAAAAAAATATGTACGCGATTTACAAATCAATATAAATCGGGATCGAAAATCGAACGCATTTTAAAATGGCGCCATTACACTGTGGGGGAAGACGTAATTTTTTACATAAAAATTAAAAGTTCAATCTAATAATTAGCACATCGTAAATAATTGTGCTTTACTGTTTTTACATTGAATGAGCTCTTTGACAAGCGAAACCTGATCCACTTGATATGTAGTAGGCCTATATTATGCGTGCCTGTAGATTTTGATTTAGGTAACATTTCACCCGACTTTCAAACTTCGTGAACAATCAAGAAAATACATTCAGTCATAAGAGACTATTTTATAATTTCTAGACTCCAGAATATTGATTGATTTCATCATTTAAATATATTTTATATTGTGTATAATAATGAACTTGTAAATAAACAACGAAATTTTCAAAATTAATATTTTCCTGCATTTTTCCTGCACTCCGGATTCTGTCTAAACCGGCCAAATTTTATTGAACCGGCGGTAGCCGGTTTGGACAAATTATAATGTATTTTCAATAACTTTTTAAAAAATGCGTCATAAAAAGACGGGGTATAGAAAAGGAATCTATAAGCATTTACCTATGTATGGAAAAAAAAGTTTTCTTGCAAGCAGCGCCTAAAGGATCAAATCATTTTACTAATAAGTTCACTTGTCAATGTGTACAGAAGTCTATACTGCTGAAAAATTAAAGTAACGACTTTAAAATTGAAGTGAAAATTTAAAATTTTGATCCAATAAACGCCAACACAGGGTAATTTGTAAGTTTGTTAAGAAAGAAATAAGAAAACATTGGATTGAAATTATAATTTAAAATTCATTTTCAATCCACCTCAACTACGCTAGAAGCCACAGTGTTACTGACTTTACACAGAAAACAAATAATTTTAATTTTGGTACAGTTTGAATTTTTTGTCCAGTGTTTTAAAAAGAATATTAAGGGACAAATATTTCATTTCTGCTTGTTTTAGGGGAAGGGGGGGTTAACAATTTTAAATAAAGTTGTCCCAACATTTTTCAGTGAGAATAAGTATAAAACTCATGCACTCTAATAATCCTAGAAATAAAATCTGTTGTCATGTAAACATTACATGTAAGTCATGACCTGACTCGACAATTTCCCCCCCCCCCTCCCCCCCCGCTTAGAATCAATTATCTCCTGAAAAATAATCTTTGTCTTCTATCATCTTTCGCGTAACTAAAATTATAAGCTAAAACTCGTATTAATGGACTTCAAACAATATGTATTTGGGAGTTGAAATTAGTTGATTTTTGGATCATATATTCACTCTTAGCTTTGAAAACAGTTCAGGTGGATTGAAAATGAATTTCGATCTGCAATTTCAATCCGATGTTTTCCAATTGTCCGCGTGGAATTGTAGCGTCGCTGAAGTGGATTGAAAATGATTTTCGATCTGCAATTTCAATCCGATGTTTTCCAAACGTCCGCGTCGAATTGTACCCGCCCATTACGCTGTCTATCAGTGAATGCTTTGATTGTAACAGATAGATATGACGTAAGCTGTAAATTTCCAATTTTGCCAGTTAATGTTCCGCGGTCTTAATAACATTTCAATATTTTTTCTGCTCTGGCAGTCAGACTTACTAAGGTCTGTCCCAGAGGGTTCTGTTTTTGTTTCCTCTTTGGTTTTTATGACGTCACTCTTTGACTGTTCCTCCTGACTTTTATTTGTTGAGGATACATTTGTATTTATAACTGGAGTGCTGTAAGAAAAAATTATCACAACTTAATTATAAAAAAAGATCTTATACAATAATTGAAAGTTCAAACTGCAAGCTGATTCTTAAGATCCCTACAAATATGGGGGGATTCATTAATTTTCACTTCATTAAATGAAATATTGAAATACATGTGCTCATCATATCTAGTTTATTTCAGTATATAAGCTAGTTTCACTGTATAAAGTTACTCTTGATATCAAGTGTATTTTATTTGATTTGTTACTGTATAACATTACTCATGATATCTAGTTCATTTGATTACCTTCACTGAGCTGAAATCTAGTTTGTTTGAGTATCTTAACTGAGCTGATATCTACTTTATTTGAGTACCTTAACTGAGCTAATATCTTGTTTATCTGAGTACCTTAACTGAGCTGATATCTAGTTTATTTAAGTACCTTAACTGAGCTAATATCTTGTTTATCTGAGTACCTTAACTGAGCTGATATCTAGTTTATTTCAGTACCTTAACTGAGCTGATATCTAGTTTATTTGAATATATTAACTGAACTGATATCTGGTTTCAGTACCTTAACTGAGCTGATATCTAGTTTATATGAGTACCTTAACTGAGCTGATTTGTAATTTATTTGGGTACCTTAACTGAGCTGCTATCTAGTTTATTTGAGTGCCTTAACTGAGCTGATATTTAGTTGATCTGAGTACCTCAACTGAGCTGATATCTAGTTAATTTGAGTACCTTAACTGACCTGAAATCTAGTTTTTTTGATTACCTTAACTGAGCTGATATCTATTTTATTTGAGTGCCTTAACTGAGCTGATATCTAGTTTATTTGAGTACCTTAACTGAGCTGATATCTAGTTTTTTTGGGTACCTTAACTGAGCTGATATCTGTTTTTTTGGAGTACCATAACTGAGCTGATATCTAGTTTATTTGAAAACCTTAACTGAGCTGATATCTTATTCCAGTTTATTTGGATACCTTAACTGAGCTGATATCTAGTTTATTTGAATGAGTACCTTAACTGAGCTGATTTCTAGTTTATTTGAGTACCTTTACTGAGCTGATATCTAGTTTATTAGAGTACCTTAACTGAGCCGATATCTAGTTTATTTGAGTACCTTAACTGAGCTGCTACTGTGTTGTACTGATTGATCATCACCATGGCTCCATCCATTAATGCCTGGATATCCCTCAACCACTGAATCCTGGCCTCCACGTTCTCCCTCTCTTGTCCCTCCATCTTCCTCAGATCCTCAGTAGACAACTCAGAGAGATTGCTGGGAGGACGAGGCATGCCTGGAAAAAAGGGGGAAAAGGTAGTCTTCAAAAGAGGCCCAATAGACCATAATACTTGCCCAAGTCACAATTCTTTCACTGACAAAAGACTATGTAAATACTGATCAATAAATAGAAACCTTGTTTGTGAACTCCATTATTTCAACATATTAGAGTATGAAGATGTCAGTTTTATAATTTCAGGGCCTATTGGTCATGGTCTTGTAAATGTCAAAATAGGCATTCAAATTACAGTGCAGCTTTGATCAACAGATTTTTCCTAAACTCATTTGTTTTGAAACAAAAAAACATAGACTTTCACAATTTTGGTAGAGAGTCTAATCCTTTTTACAATAATACCAACAATTTAAATTACTAAAAGTGTTAGGATATATCTGTGTCTTGTATTTATATTTGCAGTTTCCAAAAAAAAAAATAGTGTGATAAGAAATGGGAATAAAATACTTTGCATGATTTAAGTGTTAGAATTTTGAAAATATATATTTTCAATATAATTTAACGATTTTACACGACCATTCCATGTTTAGCGCGCATTTGTGACGTCATAGTTAAAAATTATGTCATTTTTGTGCCTGTAGAATTTAGTTCGCATCTTCCTTACTTCAAAGCATAACATGAAAAAGTTGTACAAAAAAGATTAAAATATCGTATTTTTGGCGGCGAATTACTGTTAATACCGTACTTTGTTCTTTTGCATGTTCAATTCATTAACATTTTGCATTGAAAATGCATTGAAAATTGTTATAAAGAAAAAAGAAGAAGAAGAAAAAAAAAACTTTCAAGACAGAAATGGCAGTGCGGTGAGGTCCAGACTACTGAAATATTATGTTGAGAATGAATGCATAAAAAATCTATACAAAACTTAGTGGCTTTTAAGATATTTAAATCCCCACTAAAGACCAGGAAGTAAAAACACCTGACAGGTAGATAGTACAGGTAATTAAGTGGGTCAAATGATCAGATACCATACTAAATATCAACAGACAGGACGGCCGCCATTTCTTAAATCAGGTAAAAAACTTAAGAGGAAGCATTTTGTAAATTTACAAAGATGGTCTGTGAATATACATACCGTATAAAGCTAAGCTAAACCATGGAAATAAAATGAATCTTGAATACCGGTATATTCGGCTGAATGACTTTACTGTCGACAAGTGTATATATGTAGATGTATATGCAAATCATGTCTGTATAATGGCCGGTCTCTGACATACTTTTCAATTCAGTATGGTTATCTGGCTAAACATAAATTTTGATTCCCTAAGCCCAATCAAAAATATATAATCATTGATGTTGAATTTTTATTCTTCAGTCACTTAATCTAATGATGGACCCCCGTACCAGTGCCCAGGACGTGATGCGATGTGACCTATGTGAGACCGCTGTGGTACAGATGCACTGTGATACATGTCTTGTCAACCTGTGTAAGGCCTGTGTGGGAGAACACATCTCAACAGGTGAATCTAAAGATCACAAAGTCGTTAAATTTCAGGAGAGGAAATCCACTCCCCTCTACCCTATATGTACAACTCATAATAAAGAACAGTGTGAAATGTTCTGTAAACAATGTGACATTCCTGTCTGCATCAGCTGTGTTGCTCTTAATCAACATTTAGGTCATGAATTATCAAAAATCTTACAAGTTCTGGCTGATAAAAAGGACGTGATTATAAAGGAGAGAAATGAATTAAATGATACAATTTATCCAACCTACCAGGACATTGCCTCTGATGTACAAAACAGAATGAGTCAGTTAGAAAAGGAATATGGAGATCTCCCAACAGCCATAACAAAACTTGGAGAGGACTGGCACAGAGAAATTGACAAACTTGTCAAGAAACTTAAAGCTGAAGTTGATGAGATAAAAAACACACAGTTACAAACTCTACAGGAACATCTGGATGAGATAAACAAGACAATGTCTGAAATCAAGGATGAAATCAATTCAATGGAAACTGTAATAGACACCAATGACTTGTCAAAACTATTTGGTGTCACGTCCAATCTAAACACATACAGGAATCTTCCACACAAAATTTTGCCATCTCTACCAAAATTTAGTCCAGGAAAAATCCAAGACGAAGAACTTAGTAAATTGTTTGGAGCCTTATCAGCAAGTTCTTTAACATCAGATAAACATGGCTACAGCATGAAGACAACACAGAAATCACCAGAAGCTGGATCCTCTCCTCCAGTCAAACAGCTACTTGATGAACCAAAGACTGTCACCACCATAGACACTGGGTATAAATATGCCTTTTACAATGTGGCCTGTCTGAGTGATGAAGAAATCTGGACAAGTGGAGGAGATAGCACCATAAAACTCTACAGCATTAATCAGGGATCACTACTCAAGTCAATCACAACCAAGTCAGGGAAAACACCATCTAACATAGCAGTGACAAAAAGTGGAGATCTAGTTTATACTGATTATAGGACTGTGAACATTGTGAAGAATGAGAAGATAGAGGAGGTAATCAGACTACGGAACTGGATACCTTTCAGTGTCTGTAGTACCTCTTCTGGTGACCTCCTGGTTATCATGGAAAGTGATGATGACAAACAATCAAAAGTTGTCCGCTACTCTGGCTCCATAGAAAAACAAATCATTCACTCTGATGATAAAGGTAAACCTCTCTATTCACCTAGTTCTCTTTGTCTTAGATACATTACAGAGAACAGAAACCTGGATATCTGTGTGTCTGACAGTGGAGCTAATGCAGTAGTGGTGGTCAATCAGGCCGGGAAACTGAGATTCAGGTACAATGGACATACTCCTGCTCCAAAGAACAAACCATTCAGTCCACGAGGAATCACCACAGACAGTCAGGGTCACATCCTTACAGCTGATTATAACAATGACTGTGTCCACATCATAGACCAGGATGGACAGTTCCTCTGTTACATACACTGTGGACTGAGTTATCTTATGGGACTGTGTACAGATACAAATGACAATCTATTTGTTGCACACTATGGAAACAGACAAGTGAAGAAAATCAAATACATGTATCTGAATTGAAATGCATCACTAATTTGTGAACTTTGTAATCAAATAAAAAATGTATGCAAGATAACTGACGCATAGTATGCTGCTTTATCAAAAGTTGCGATAGTATTAAAATTCTTTTTAAGGGTCTGTAAATAAATGTATATATGTCTATAAAAATACATACTGAATTTTTCTAATCATGTCAGAAATAAATACAAATACATGGATCATACATCCCAAGCACCCAAGTAATCTTAGTTTTTTAAAAAGTTTATTACTGTCAAATCTGAAGAAAATTGTTGACCCCATATTGTGGCTCCAACAGTCACTTTTAAGGCTGAACCAAACTAGGAGTACATTATATGGGAATGCTTCAAATTCATCACGACTAAAGAGGTCTTCCTGTTCTGGAGATAATTTTTCCCTTTACATGTCAGTCTGATTAAAAGCAGCCCCCTTCTCCTTTCACTGACGTGTGAAAGGAAAAGGGGGCTGGTTTTAATCAGACTGCTGTACATGTATACATTGCATTATGTAAAAGGTGTCTCCAAATTTTAGCCTAATCCTATCTTCAAGGCATGTAATTTAAGATAAGAGGCCCAAGGGCCACAATGCTCACCTGAGTAACTTAGGCCCTGCTGCTCCATTTTTTTTTTTTTATACATTTCCATATACAAATTGTGGTCCTACTTTAATATAATGGTGTCTCTGACTCTATTAAACACAAGTACGATTTAATTTAGAATTATAACACAGAAATTATGGAAAAGAAACTTCATTTAATGCATACATGCATTATTTAAAATTATACTCCAATTAAGCCGTCTTACATGTACCCATGGTCTAGAATTGAAATAATTTGAACAATTAAGAATCAACATTATCTCAGAAAGCTCTCAAATAAATTTCTTCTATTCAGTTAGGTATTTAGTTGGTAAGTATTTCTTGAGTTATGATTCAAAAAGATTTGTTCCAATATGTATACAGGTGTATGCTAACGTATTTCTTCCCCCACCCCTGCAGGATCAGTATTTAAACCAACTAGCCAGAAAGCATACACAAAAGTCTCATAAGTGACACCATGACATGGACTACAGCAATGACAGACAATATTAATCAGAGACCTTTGAATCAGGTGAGCTAAAAAGATGTCTGGACAAATGACCGAAGAAAGGACCGGGTTGTTACAACGCGAAATGTAATAACAACGCGAAATGTAATAAACTGGGAAAATTACATTTTGCGTTATTACATTTTGCGTCGAAATCAACGCAAAATGTAATAACGCAAAATGTAATTTTGCAATTTTTATATTATTACATTTTGCGTTATTACATTTTGCGTCGAAATCAACGCAAAATGTAATAACGCAAAATGTAATAATCTAAAAATTGTCTTATTACATTTTGCATTATTACATTTTGCGTTGATCTCAACGCAAAATGTAATAACGTAAATTGGAAGAAGAGAATCTGTAGATTTATTACATTTTGCGTTATTACATTTTGCGTCGAGATTAAGCAATAACAAATAAACGCAAAATGTAATAACGCGTTTTTAAAAACAGTTACGTTTATATTCGATTTCTGTTTGATTATCTTGTTCGGCAATACTCTGCCTCAATGAAAAAAAAAAACGTATGAGGATCTTGAGTATCCAATCAACTGAGGGTCGAAAACCTCATTTGCAGGTTCTGTAACAAGGGATTATTACTACATAAGAAAGTACAGATTTGAAAAAAAAACTAAAATCAATTCGTTTATAATAAATCATTTGGAAATTTACCAGAAATGTACATAAACAGTAACCTAAGTGTTTATGTATATTTCTGGTAAATTTCCAAATGTGAAACAGAATGAGTCAGACTTTATGGTATCTTTTAATTAAGCTCACTGAGATATTTCCAGTCAACATATGAAATGGAAGAAACTATATCGAAATGTCAAGCTGAAGCCCACAACAATTGTTTTCTTTACATTTTCACTACTGCTTCACTACTTTCCCCGTCATTTTCGATCATGTCAAGGAGCACACAGCGTGTGTAAACGTTTTGTAGGAGATGCTCACTCCCCGAGAGCATCTGGTTCCATCTCCGATATTAATGAGGTCCGTAATTGGTCTGCGCCATTTTGTATTGTTTTAAGGACATTTTTGCTCAAAAACTGACATGGGAGGCCTCATTTTAATTAAAACTATTGGTCCATAAACTTGTATCGTATGCGGGGCCACACCTCCTTATATTTACCACAAGGTATCTAGCTAGATTTCATTCCCGCTTCAAGCTCGTATTTTGTAAATATATCAATCATTTACCTACTTCAAAATAAAATTGTTCGCTTTGAGAAATTTTTTCTTGTCAAGTACTAAAGTAAATCGTTTCAGACGTCTCTGGTCCAGTTTTTTTTTGTTAACTACTCATTTAACCTGCAACATTAACTTCGATTCATATTAAGAGTTTAGGTGGGATACACTTTTCCGTATGGTTATGAATGAAGGATATAACAAGAGACATCAGAATAGGATACTCGAAAGTCTCTGGTTTTATTCTACCCCCCCCTCCACCGGAAGTTGTACCTCATCCCCAGTCTTTACAATGTAAAAGTATCGTCGTAATTTTGAGGAACAAATGAATGGTTTACAAAAAAAGGCTCGACCAGAGACGCTTGAAACGATTAATTGACAAGAAATAAAGTCTCTAAAAGCAAAATAGGAGGCCTAACGCGAAAAACCCATTTTGTGTACGGGTGGGGAGTGGTCGGGGATTCTAGGGCCTTATACTTATGTCTTAATTTTCTTACCAATTTCAAAGTTTTCGACGTTTTCTAAGGAGGGGGGGGGGGAGGTTGTTCCAAGATCACTTTTACTTGGTTTTGTATATACATTAAAGAACACCAATTCAAGGGGGAGGGGTCTGGACATCCACCCATACCCTCCTCTCTTCCCTCTAGATCCGCACATGTTGTAGCAATTTAATATGTGCATTCGTCTGCAAAGAATAAAGTAAAGTAAATTTGAGGCCTATTAACCGATATAAGGCAATGTCTTTGTATATATGAAAAAATTCATCGAACAGAACATATATTATACAATTCTCAAAAATAGATTTTAGGTTGTTTGTGATGTAATTATCAGATTTCATTTTCCGTTGTGGATTCTCATCAAACCCGATATATTCTCATTGTGTAGCAGTTTGTAAGTTAATTTTATATCATACACTGGTAATGGGTTAATGAATTTATAAACATGTCAAAGTCAATATTGGTCAGTTATGCTAAATTTTGATGTTTTTTTAAATAAAAAGCTTATACTGTAAACCAACTTTTATTCGAGTGCGAAAAATTTTCGCGGAGTTTGCGGGAGCCTCGTCATCGCGAATATTTCTCGACGCGTAACGGTCGTGAAATTCTCTCTTGTATTGACATAAGATCCAAAAAAGGCTTGGTCGCGAAAATTAATCGTCGCGAACTAGTTTACACCCGATAAATCGCGAAATAAAGTCGTCGCGAATAAAAGTTGGTTTACAGTATGCTCTATAGGTCTAACATAAACTTTTACATGTTTTATGCATGAACTCTTTAAATAAAGGTTCTGTAAATGGGCAACATGAACAATTTTGAAAAGTAAGTTTTAAAAATGTCAAGTCAAAGGGTAACGATGATGAATAGGCAATGTTTTGGTGCTTTTTAGCTCACCTGAGCCGAAGGTTCAAGCGAGATTTTCTGATATTATATCTGGCGTTCGTATGTCTGTACATACGTCTGTCTGTCTGTAAACTTTTCACATTTTGACTTCTTCTCAAGAGCCATAGAGCCAATTCCAACCAAACATGCCACAAAGTGTCTTTCTGTTAAGGGACTTCAAAACTGCTCAAATGAAAAAACCACGCTTTTTCAAGAGGAGATAATTAGAAATAAGTGAAAAGATATTGCCATATTTTTTTAAAAAATGTAATTTTTTTAAAAATCTTCTCAAGAACCACTGGGTCAGACGTCTTTAAATGTTTGAGAAATTCTCGAATGCGACGAAAAACAATATACAATCAATCTAAGGAACAGCAAAGCCATGATTTGTCAAATTTATATGGAAACATCCTCAATTTGTCATAAAAAAAACCCTGTGTATACTGTAAAGCTGTTAAAAAATAAAAGACAAAATGTTAGAATTTATATTTATTTTAAACATTAAAGTTATTCTTTTCTGAGAACTGTATATAATCACGTACAAACATACATATCTTGACAAATCTCTGCAAAAAACATTCATGTTAATGAAGAACAATTATTTGGTGTACAGTGATGAAATGAAGTTACAAAATTAAGACAAGTGTATTAAAATTGTTTCTTTTGACATGTTTATATAGAAATTCTCCAAATCTTCCTATGCATTGAAAATCACTTAAAGATATAAAAGATAAAATCATTAAAACAATTGATATTTTTTGATTCCCAATTACGCTACCTGCTCAAGTTTTTCATTGATTTGATAAATTAAAATATGTTTGAAAACATCGATGACTTGATGTTGGAACCAAAAAATCCTGCCACAAAAAACATAAATCAGAACAGAGATAAGTGAAGTTTATCGCGACTGCGTATACCAAAAATTTCAATTACTGGTATTATTGAATTTTCCGATTTTGACATTTTTTTCGAAATATACATAACTTACCGCCACCAAACGTCTCGAATTTCAAACCATCTGTGTTCTTTTTCCATCAGACAAAGCCATGCATTAGCCCACACTTTACTTTTTCCTAATATAGTTCTTAATTCAGCAACCAACCCACTTGATCTACCGGCTATGTTACAACGCGAAATGTAATAACAACGCGAAATGTAATAAATTTGGATTATTACATTTTGCGTTGAAATCAACGCAAAATGTAACAACGCAAAATGTAATAATACATTTGTTGGATTATTACATTTTGCGTTATTACATTTTGCGTCGAAATCAACGAAAAATGTAATAACGCAAAATGTAATAATTCAGTTTTTAGATTATTACATTTTGCGTTATTACATTTTGCG